CGGTATTTCAAACGAATACTTTACTAAAGTGCTAGACATTTAACTGACAGATTTGAAAAGAAGATGCTTTTTCTTAAACCATTTGGCAAACATGACCTTATTAGACCAATTGCGAGACACAAAAATGAAGGAATTTGGCACAAATCTGACAGAAATACAGCACTGACGCACTTCTTTTGAAATAAAATTGGTTTTAAAAATATGAGGTGATATGATAGCTGATACGGCCTTGATGTTCTTAAGAGCCCGCATGACAGAGTAAGAATCTGATAGCTATCGTGCCCTTCATCTTAAAAAACATCAACGCTGCTAGCTCATAAACAGAGATCAGACTTCAGATTGCTTGATTGCTAATTCACCAAAGCTAATCTCCCCCTGCAAGAACCTTCTAAATACTCATGGCGTAAACACTTTGCATTTGATTTAGTGACTGAAGTAATTAAAAAAAAAAAAAGTGTAAAAAGCGTCACAAGAAATAAAAAGCTCTTTCCATACGGGACTCAAAATGCAAGCTGGCATCGAAAATGAGAGCTAATCAGGTATTAATGTATGTAAATGTCAAGTGAAAAATAGCCCAAGCTCCAAATGTATTAGTTTCCCAATAACAGGAACAGGTCTCATTATATTACCTGTGCAAATGTCAAGTCCTGTGATGTCGAGATGACACAGCTGGGAAAAAAAATTGGAAGAAAGGACAGTGGAAATGTGGAGTGAAGGTCTGGCTTGTTTAGTGATGGTGTGTTAGCCTTAGGGCTTGCCTCCCTGTCAGTAGATTTCAGATGTCTTAAAAGGTGCCCAGCTCTGTCTGGATAATTCCAGTCAAGAGAGGCCAAAACAATAACACCAACTGCACTTGAAATGCAATCCTGTTTAGCATGTTTATTTCCTCAAGGGGCATTTTTATACATCCAGATAGAGCTCATTTGTAGGGGTAGAACGACTCCGCTTATCTGCCCTGAATACATGAGGAATGCCATCAGTGAAGATGCACAAACTGTATGCAGTCTTCAAGATCTTTGTCTCAGCCATTTTTAATACATTTCACTAGATCTAAATCGTGGCTAGCGGCCTTTTCCACAGACACTGGTGACACTTGACCTTTATAAAAAGGCACATGAGGCACAAATATAGTGTTTTTAAATCGTTTTTTGAGAACTATTTAATGTTTGGTCAACTATTTTGTAACATATTGTTGCATGAAAAGCACTAGTAGCCTTACTGTTGTCATGCAACTATATGTACAGTTGAAGTCAGAATTATTAGCCCCCCTGACTAATTAGCCCCCCAGTTTATTTTTTCCCCAATTAGTTTAACAGAGAGCAGATTTTTTTTTCAACATTTCTAAACACAATAGTTTTGATAACTCATTTCTAATAACTGATGTATTTTATCTTGCCATGATGACAGTACATAATAATTTACTAGATATTTTTCAAGACACTTCTGTACAGCCTAAAGTGACATTTAAAGACTTAACTAGGTTAATTAGGCTAACTAGGAAAATTAAGGTAATTAGGCAAGTTATTGTATAACGATGGTTTGTTCTGTAAACTATTGAAAAAAATATAGCTTAGGGGCTAATAATTTTGACCTTAAAATGTTTATTTTATTTTATTAAAAACAGCTTTTATTCTAGTTGAAACAAAACAAATAAGACTTTCTCCAGAAGAAAAAATATTATCAGACATACTGTGAAAATGTCCTTGCTCTGTTAAACATCATTTGGAAAAAAAAAGTGCCTTAATGTCACAGATAACAAGAATCAGGAATGATGTGCGTGTGAGTGTGTGCTGTATTTATTGTCCATCTAATCAGTTTATGAACACCTACCAACAGTTGTGTAATCAACCAAATGAGGAACAGGTGTGAGTGGTGCATGATTGGATATGTAGTTCTTTAAAGTGGCAGATTTGTAGTTCTTAAGCAATCTGCACAGGTTGGATTGCTTGTGATTGTGACAATAAGTATATAAGACTACTGTTATTTATCATTAAGGCTATTATGTATCATTATGTAAACAATCATAGTATAAAGAGATCACCATAAACGTAATCAAAAAAAGTTTGAATTTTTTTTTTGAGAAATAATTGAATTTTTTTTTTTTTTTTGGGATCAATTTACAAATTAGAGATGTCAATGCTTATTCAATGCAATCAATTCCATGCTAAATAAGCGGGACAAAATTAGTAATAACAAAATGATTTTTTTTTTTAATGAAGATTAATTATTTTTTATATAATATCAGTGTTGGAAGTATTGATACTTGTTCTTGCACACACTTGAATGGTCCAGACATATTTTGGGTCCAGATATTAAGACGAAGGACACTATACTGTATGTGGAGGAAAATGAGGATGATGAGGTAACCTCTGCTTTCTTTAGCATCACAGATAACATGATAATATAACACTTACCGCAGGAAGAAAAAAAATATTATTTTTTACCTTAAAACAAAATAATCAATTACTGGCATTAAATTCTTAACATGTGAAAAACAATATTAATTAAATTAATAAATGTTTTTTTAAACACACAAAATATGATATGAAAAAAATGGTTTAAAAAAGCATATGATAAAAAAACTATATATTTTGTCTGTTAAATTTTTGAGACACAAACTGTTTGTTCGCTGTAAAATAACTGTTTATTTATGTAATCTATTTATTTATGCCTACAAATTGCATTAAGGACATTATACTGGACTCTCGACATTAAAATTTGGTTGCCGAACAATTTGGATAATGTATGCATCTATTTTCATTCATTTTTCTTCGGGTAGCCACAGCGGAATGAACTGTGCCAACTAATCCAGTATATGTTTTTACACTGCAGATACAATTCCAGCCCAACCCAGTACTGGAAAACATCTATACACTCATCCAATTCAATTATAGAGCAGGTCTTTAGACCTTGGGGGAAACCGGAGCACTTGGAGGAAACCCACATGAACACAAAGAGAACATACAAACTCCTCACACAGAAATGCCAACTGGCCAGCCAGGGCTCGAACCAGCGACCATCTTGCTGTGAGGCGATAGTGCTAACCACTGAGCCACTGTGCCACCCCAATTATACATTTTTATATAAGTTATTTTATATACAACTTATTTAAACTATTATTGCTGTAGTACAGATTGCAGCAGTTGTCTGAGCAATAATCAAGATCCCATAATGCATTTCCAAAGTGTAATTAAACAAAAACCTTTTAAAAAAAATTATTAGCAGATATTATTACAATGTTGCTGGAAATCGCAAAAACATGAATTAAAAAAAATGTTACAGACGTACAACAACAACAACAACAACAACATTTTATTTGTGTAGGTGTTTACTTGTAATGTACAGATTAAAGACTACAGATACCAGTAATGCAAATTGCAATAAGGTCAGAAACAAGAGTGGATGAAAATAAGATGTGGGTAATTTACTAACACAAATAGGGTTAAGACTTACTTTTTTGGGTATGAACAACACAAACTGGCCCCTTTTTAAGCCTTACTAAATTACCTCGCATTTTAATTTTAATATTAATTTTAATACTGTATACCAAAATTGTCTAAAATTCCCAAAAATGCAAGATTTGAGAAAGTTAAAAATTAATTGTTACAAAAATCACTGTCCACGGCTTTTCTTTTCATGAATATTTTCAGTTTGTGTCTATAGTAAATCCTGACAGTATTTTTCTTAACAACAAAGAAAGGTTTGTGCTGATGCAAGCTGTTAGTAAGTCTGACCCTCAGTACCAGATTCAGAACAGTGCAGCCAACGTGGTAAACATCATCTAAAATGAACAAAAATAAAACATCTCATTTAATATTTAGCTTGACCTCCTGAGGTTGACCATCATTTTCCAAAGGTTAAGCACCCCATTAACTGATATTTGTTATAAAAAAAAAGTCATGCCCTTTTTTCCCCTCCACTCTCTTCATGAGAAGTGCATATACAGTACCAGAGCCTGGAATGAAATACACATTCAACACATGCACACGCAAATCCTCTTTTCATGATAATGTAGGCTGAAGAATCATGACTCATCTGTGCTGAGTAAGCGCACAGGCTTTAGCGGTTAGAGTCATGGGATCAAGTAAATTTCGAGACCACAACATTCATATGGGTCTATATCTGATGATTTAAATGGCAGGTTTTTACCTCGGAAGGCAGCAGAAGCTTGCTTAGATAAACAGACTATTCCAGGAACTCTTGTATTCCTGATCACCAGCTTGTGTGCTGATTTATGTTGCTTCTGCATCCCCCCCCTACTATTACAGTTAGACAGGCATTATGCATCTGATGTAATGTCTACACAACCTGTGTAAATTGCAGGTGCGACTGTAAGTGCAATGGCAATGGCATTAAATTACAGGCAGCTATAATATATTTAAGCACTATATAAATGTAATGAATTATATATATATGTGATTATTTTATGATACAATGCTGTCTCTGTGTTCCTTAATTTGTACATTAAGTAGAAACATCTACAAAAATGTTGCATTTTCACTATTGATGTATAGTCTTAGGGCGAGGCAGTGGCGCAGTAGGTAGTGCTGTCACCTTACAGCAAGAAGGTCACTGAGTTGCTGGTTCGAACCTCGGCTCAGTTGGCGTTTCTGTGTGGAGTTTGCATGTTCTCCCTGCCTTTGCGTGGGTTTCCTCCAAGTGCTCCGGTTTCCCCCACAGTCCAAAGACATGTGGTACAGGTGAACTGGGTAGGCTGAATTGTCCATAGTGTATGAGTGTGTGTGTGTGTGTGTGTGTGTGAATGTGTGTGTGGATGTTTCCCGGAGATGGGTTGCGGCTGGAAGGGGATCTGCTGAGAAAAAAATTGCTGGATAAGTTGGCAGTTCATTCCGCTGTGGTGACTCCGGATTAATAAAGGGACTAAGCAAAGAAATGAATAAATTAATGTATATTCTTACTTCATTTTGAATGAAAAAATTTTAAAAATAAAATAAAAATAGACCCAGGACCCGCTGGAGGGACTATGTCTATCGGCTGACCTTGGAACGCCTCGAGATCCTCCAGGACGAGCTGGAGGAAGTGTCGGGGGGGAGGGAAGTCTGGGGTTCTCTCCTAAGACTGCTGTCCCCGCAACCCGACTCTGGAAAATCGGTAGAAAAAGAATAAATTAATGAATGAATAAATAAATATTCAATCCTATTAGCCCTCTTAAGAATTTAGTTATCAATTAGAGAAAAAAACCACTATCGTCCAGTTTCTTGCATAATTAAATGCAGTTTACACAAAAATAAAATAATAGACACAGTTTACACACCCTTAACTTGTTTCAAACCTTTATAAATTTCTTCTGCCAACACAAAAGAAGATAGTTTGAAAAATGTTGGAAACCTGTCACCATTGAATTCCCTAGTATCAATTTGTCCTCCTCATAAAAAGTTGAAATTATTTGAAGGTAGGTAAATAGAGAATACATGTTAATTTCATTGAACTATATCTTTACACTAACTTGCCTCATTCATTCATTCATATTCATTCATTCATTCATTTTCTTTTTGGCTCAGTCCCTTTACTAACCTGGGGTTGCCAAAGCGGAATGAACCACCAACTTTCTAACATATGTTTTACGCAGCAGATGCCCTTCCAGCTGCAACTAGACATAACTAGTTAGCTTTTAGTTACTAGTAGGATAAGTTATTTGAAATTATTTTAAAAAAACTATTATGTTTAAAATGTGTTGAAAATGATAAAAAAACAGCATTTCTGCTTCTAATAAAATAAAATTCTAATAATTATGGCTTCAACTATATCTAGGGCTTGAGCACCAATGGTATTGGAATCGCTCCATTTCTACTTATTATTATTCCGTTCCAGAATCAGTCACATTTTTGAGGGTCTAAACATGCTCGAAAACTCACAAAACTTTGAACATGCACCTAAAGTAGTGAAAATTTACATTTGATATGGGTTTTAGAAGTAGGTGTGGCAAACTGGCTCAACAGTGCAACATATAATCAACAATGTGCCCTGCAAGCTATGTTTGACCAACACATACAAAAAAAACAACAAAAAAACCCCAAACACATCAAACATGCCAATACCTATAAAAATGTTAACTTCCTCTGCAGTTTTTGCCATTTCCAGGTGTTGTACTTTAACTCCTGTTAACAATTGGATATTGTTAAGTAAAGGTCTTGGTGATGTTAAATTGTGAATATCTAGAGTTTTTGTCGAAGGGCGTGTCCGTGGTGGCCTCACAAAATTTGATATTTCACCACAAAACAGGAATTGAAGACATGCATTGTCCGATCTGCCTCAAAATACACACGTTTGATAAGAGTCCTTATCTGAACATGTTAACATGCCAATATCCAGTTAGGACCACCTGCTGGCAACAGAGTTTTACACAGTAACAAACTCCTAGAACTTTTACCAGATCAAATCAACGCTCCTTTAGTTTAATCCAAAGGCCTTTGTGACATTAAAGTGTGAAGATCAAGAGTTATCGTCGAAGGACGTCTGTGAAGGACAGTGTTTCGCAATGAGGGAGGAAGTACTTATAACCACCACACAATGTCAGATCTGCCTGAAAAGTCACATGGTTGATAAGATTCCTCTCCTGAAGACATCTGCATGCCAAAATTACGTTAAGGTCATAGCGCCACCTGCTGACAGAAGGAAGTTTGGCATAAATCAGTAAATTTGTCAGTTTTTTTTATATTAATCAGCTTAAATTAATATTGTTCAATGTTCTGTGTCATCCCAAGGCCACCGGGTGGCAGTGAGGTGCGAGGTCCCTTTCATCGCTGCTTGCAGATTTAATTCTGGTTTGTGTTTGCACAACTAAAATTTATTCCAATAGTTTCATAAATAACCCAGAAGAAGTAGCGAGAATATTAGGATTGTTGTGGTCACCCTGGTCCATACTTGATCTTTTTTTTTTTTTTTTTTTTATGTTGGAATAAGTCTTTTTGGTTTTCCAAAAAGCATGAAAAGAGATGGCAGGGTTTTAGCAAGTAATTGGATCAGGTGGTGCGGTTTCACAAAGATAACAAGTCAAACCCATTACTGGTGAATAAGAATGGACAGCCAGCAGATTTGAATTTACTTTTATTATACCGTGGCTGCATTAATATTTCCAACAGCAGGTGTTTTTCGGGTGGCGTCTGAGGAACAATGACCTTGGGAAATATCCATACCGATGGGAGGATGCATTCGGATTTTGTTTGAAAGTGTTTCAGATGGCTATCGGCCACTCCAGCCTGAGATTAAACAGAGCAAAATGATAACGGTATTGAACTCACCACAAATCAATGTCTGCTGTGTGACGGAGCCTGCACTAAACTCTTTTCTGTATGCACCGGTCCTGTTCACAGTTTTATTGTGCGGCTGAAAAAAAAAAAGCAGTATTGTGGGTTCATTCATTGTGATGTAATCTCTTGGCGAGGAATGTTAATCTCTTTGTCTCTCATCTGTCACAATGATGGATCTTATTGTTTCACTACTTTAAGCCTTTATCTTTCATTAAAGTGTGACATTTATTTCACAGAGTGTTTTTCTGCATACGGATGGCCTGAGTTAACACTGTGAAAATAGAGCCATTGAAATGAATGACTTTCCAATATACAAAGCCCTTGGTAGCAAAGAGGAAATGTAGTCATTTTCAGATCTCCCCGGAGACATTTCAAAAATAAATTAGCAAAAAAAAATAAAAATAAATAAATAATAATAATAATGTTGTTAGCTTTCATTTTCACACTATTGCTGAAACGGATGGCAATTGTCCCTAAAGGCATGATTGAAAAATCCTGTCCAAAATAATAATAAAAAAATTCATATCATTATTATTATAATAATTGTGTCTTGAAATTGAGAAACAGAACATATTTCATCAGGTATATTATGCTGGCTGAGTTTAATTCTTTACATTTTAGAAGGAAACCAGAATAGTAGACCAGGTCTAATTGTCAAATTGTTTTACTTCAGAGAATATTTCATTTTTCTGCAGGCCCATAAATTAAAGCCCAGGCTACAAATAAGCTATTGGACTTTTGTATTGAGCTATTGATTTGTGCTCAGATCTTTTGTTGACATTACATGCGGTTTGTTGTCACAATGGAGGCTGCGTTAAATAACCTATAGGCTTTTCAGGTAAGACCAATTCACAAAACCACATATATGCAAAAAGTGGCAGCAAACAAATATGTGCACACCTGCAACCCAGGCTTACTCTGAAAATGCACCAATACATTTCTGGAGAGTGCCAAATACATCCCAGGAGGTATGTTTTATTTTTATTTATTTTTTTTGCAGTTTTTTGATTTTGCGAATCCACCAGAGGCCGCTGTGTACACTTTTTCAGATCTCAAATTTTTCTTGTTAGTGCCATTTGCACCAGCTATTCTTACGTATATCCACTAGAGGCCACTGTCGACTGACTGAATGACTGACTGACTGACTGAACCGTTAAGTGTTTAGTCATATGAAAATGCATGATTTTTAAAAGGAGGTGTGGCACAAACCCCACCCCTAAACCCAACCATCATTGGGGGATGAACATATACTAAAATGTACGAATGAGATCGTACGATTTCATATAAATTAGCCACTAAATCAAAAAGTTATGAATTGCTGTGAGATAGCATTGTTTTTTTTTTACATGGTTATAACATGTGAAGACATTGGGTCTCATTTAGGCATGGGCATAAGATCCTGACGGTAAGATAACCTTGGATAAAATATCAGAGTTTCACGGTTTTATTTATAACAGCTCCAAAATATATTCTTTTTAAATGTCTGGGTTTCTGCTTTGAACACAGTATATTTTATTTTGAGTAATATTTAAAATATTGGAGCTGTGAACATGTCAGGCTAAATAATTCAAATGAATCATTGACTTCTTCTGCCATCATTAAATTTAAGAAGATTTCTTTACCATTTAAAATGACATCTTTGGATATTTTTTTTCTGCTGGAAATAAAAAAAAAAAATACATAAAAAAATCTTACAAATACCTTGTGAACGGTATTACAGAAAATTTTGGCAGTTTTAAAACCTTGACTTTCCAAACCATGGTATACCTTGAAAACGGTTATCGTCCCATGCCTAGTCTAAAAAAAAAGTCTTAAATATTAAATCACACGCACAAAACTTTCACAAAGATTAACTAAGAACAGAATCTGCCAATGGCCACTGTGTAGGCGTTTTCAGATCTCAAATTTCTCTCGCGAGTGCCATTCACACCTACTGTTCTTGCGTAAATCCACTATAGGCTGCTGTCGACTGACTAATTCAGGGATGTTCAAACTTTTTGGGCCGAGGGCCAGATGCAAAAAAACAAACGTTGTCGCGGGCCAAATTTTACATACATCACACAGACACGTGTGTATATATATATATATATATATATATATATATATATATATATATATATATATATATATATATATATATAAATACAGTTGAAGTCAGAATTGTTAGCCCCCTAAATTATTAGCCCCCGTTTATTTTTTCCCCAATTTCTGTTTAACGGAGAGAAGATTTTTTTCCACACATTTCTAAACATATTAGTTTTAGTAACTCATTTCTAATAACTGATTTATTTTATCTTTGCCATGATGACAGTAAATAATATTTGACTAGATATTTTTAAGACACTTCTATACAGCTTAAAGTGACATTTAAAGGCTTCACTAGATTAATCAAGTTAACTAGTTAAGTTAAGGTAATTAGGCAAGTTATTTTATTACAATGGTTTGTTCTGAAGACTTAAGGGGCTAATAATTTTGACCTTAAAATGGTTCATAAAAAAATTTAAACCACTTTTTATTCTAGCCGAAATAAAACAAAAGTCTTTCTCCAAAAGAAAAAATATTATCAGACATACGGTAAAAATGTCCTTGCTCTGTTAAACATCATTTGGGAAATATTTAAAAAAGAAGAAATAAATCTAAGAGGGGCTTATAATTTAGACTTTAACTGTGTGTAGATAGACAGACAGACAGACAGACAGACAGACAGACAGATAGACAGATAGATAGATAGATAGATAGATAGATAGATAGATAGATAGATAGATAGATAGATAGATAGATAGATAGATAGATAGATAGATAGATAGATCATATCAAGAACTGCTGCTTAATTGAATGCATGTAATAGCGACACCTGGTGGTTATTTATTGAATTACGTTCATTTTTGTATAGCGGGCCAGATTCTATTGATATTTATAAAAAGCCTCGCGGGCCGCCACAAAACTGATTGCGGGCCGCAGATGGCCCGCGGGCCGTAGTTTGGACACGCCTGGACTAATTGATTGACTGACCCACCCTTCTCCTTTCCTAAACCCAACCAATAGTGCTTTCCAAAGCACCGATTGACCTGCCAACCCACTTCCTTAAACCCAACCGACAGTTTTAAAAAGCAATCCAAAGAAAGAAAAGTCCTTGCCTAATTTTTACCACGTTGTCAGATTTTACCACATTTTTACCCTGTTACTTGCTTGTTTATTTTATTTTTTGGCTTCTGTTTTCATCCTAATGCATTCTTCACTGGACTCAAACCCCTTCTTCTGTGCGTTTCAAGTCAACCAATGTACATGGCAAGCTACTGGACAAAATGGTAACAGCGGGAAAGCCATCCATACAGAGGTATACAGTCAGCTGGTAAGTACAGGAATGGCGTCACACCACCCTGTATCACTTGTTTTAAAGAAAAAATGCAGCCATACGTACTTCAGGCAACATAATTTGCAATCTCCAGAAATGAAAATAGGGCTAGGTTTGCAGAATGAGCCTGTAACAATCTTCATGTTATTGAATAAAACAAAACAAAAAATATCTTGTTTATCTTATTTGAAGTTAAAGAAAATAAGTTCTATCCGTTTGCATTTAAATAACAAAGACATTTACATTTACATTTTACATTTAGTCATTTAGCAGACGCTTTTATCCAAAGCGACTTACAAATGAGGACAAGGAAGCAATTTACACAACTAAGAGCAACAATGAATAAGTACTAAAGGCAAGTTTCAGGTCTGTAAAGTCTAAGAAGGGAAGTGTTAGTAGTTTTTTTTTTTTTTTTTTTTTTTTTTTGTACAATTAGTGTGATATTCAAAGAGGCAATTGCAGATTAGGACGTGAAGTGGAGACTAAATAGTTGAGTTTTTAGTCGTTTCTTGAAAATAGCGAGTGACTCTGCTGTTCTGATGCAGTTAGGGAGTTCATTCCACCAACTGGGCAGATTGAGCGTGAGCGTTCGCGAAAGTGATTTTTTCCCTCTTTGGGATGGAACCACGAGGCGACATTCATTCACAGAACGCAAGTTTCTGGAGGGCACATAGATCTGCAGAAGTGAGTGCAGATAAGAAGGTGCTAGGCCAGAAGTCACTTTGTAGGCAAACATCAGAGTTTTGAATTTGATGCGAGCAGCAACTGGCAGCCAGTGCAAACGGACTAGCAGCGGAGTGACATGTGCTCGTTTAGGTTCATTGAAGACAACTCGTGCTGCTGCATTCTGGAGCAGTTGAAGAGGCTTGATAGAGTTAGCTGTAAGCCCAGCTAGTAGAGAGTTGCAGTAATCCAGTTTGGAGAGAACAAGAGCTTGAACAAGGAGTTGAGCTGCATGTTCAGATAAGAAGGGTCGGATCTTTCTGATGTTATAGAGTGCAAATCTGCACGATCGAGCAGTTCTAGAAATGTGGTCAGAGAAGTTTAGTTGGTCATCAATCGTTACTCCAAGGCTTTTCACCATTTTGGATGCATTAATGGTTGCCCCATCCATCTGGATTGAAAAGTTATGGTGTAGAGTGGGGTTGGCAGAAACTACAAGCATTTCCGTTTTTGCGAGGTTCAGCTGAAGATGATGATCTTTCATCCAGTGTGAAATATCCAACAGGCAGGCTGAGATACGAGCTGGAACCGAGGGATCATCAGGATGAAAAGAGAGGTATAGCTGGGTATCATCAGCATAGCAGTGGTAGGAGAATCCATGTCTCTGGATGACTGATCCTAGAGATGATGTGTAGATGAAGAAGAGAAGTGGCCCAAGAACAGAGCCTTGAGGTACCCCAGTGTTTAGATGCTGTAGGTTGGACACCTCTCCCCTCCAAGACACCCTAAATGACCTGTCAGAGAGGTAAGATCTGAACCATTGTATAACAGTGCCCGCAACGCCCAGTGACTCAAGCGTAGATAGCAGGATCTGGTGGTTGACAGTGTCAAAAGCAGCTGACAAGTCCAGCAAAATGAGGACTGATGATTTAGAGTCTGCTTTAGCCAGTCTGAGATCCTCCACGACCGAGAGCAGGGCAGTCTCAGTTGAGTGGCCTTTCTTAAAGTCGGATTGCTTGTTGTCCATGAGATTGTTTTGAGTAAGAAAGTCCAGGACT